CCCACAGGCCGTACCACTTCTTGCCGAAACCACCCGTCTCCTTCTTGATCCTCTCGACCATGTCCTCACCATCGCGGCTCTCCGCGTACTTCTCGGCGACCTTCCTCAAGTGGTCGTTTGTCCGCGTGGAAAGAATCTCGACGAGAATGAAGTCGGAACAGCCAAAGCCGGCCATGCACTTGTGAATCAGAAACGCGTCCCGCGCGGCAGGATCCATGGTCCTGTAGACGAGGAAGCGTCCGAAATCGGTGAGGGATCCAGTGAGGAGGCCAAGGAATGTCTTGTTTTCGCCCCGAATCTGATCCTCGACGGTTCGGTTGTATTTTTTCTTGTAGATCTCGTCCGCAAGGACCAAATTCTCTCGAAGCCTACCCACGATCACCGTCGCCATCTTCGACTCGTCCGTGCCAAAGCCCACGGAAGCCTCGCGGAGGTCGAACGCATCTTGATCAGCGACGTGGTACTGCAGAGCGTCGTTGAGGGCGTCCTCATCACCCTTGCGGTCCTGGATGCACTTGATGTGCGTGCTCAGCTTCATCAGAGTGGTCTTCACGTAGCGCTCTTCGTGCATCTCGTTCGCGTAGTCACCGACGTGGCCCCTGAGTTTCTCCTGCTGGTCGTGGATCTCCTTCAGGAGCCCGGGCAGCGGGTCATGTGGCGCTGGCTGGGGGCCCTGGTCAACCGAGGCCCCGCAGCCCATTGCCCGCTGAGGTGGCCGCACGCGCTGAAGTGGGCACGGCAGCTATCGCACCTGAAATGCCGAACCGAATGGCTTCAGCCAAAAAGCTTCGCCGGAGGGGCTGCCAGGGGGGTCCAGCGCCGATCCGAGAAATCCGCGCGGACCTCCGAGTTTTGATTCGCGTGTGGCCCTTGTCCCCCATCAGAGCCCCTCCTGGACCCAAAGTTAGAAGAGGAAAACACGCCATAAAACAACATACACTTTTGGCGCTCCGCGCGGGATTCTCAGATCTGCGATGGGCCCCGCTCCCTGGCGCGCGGAGCGCGCCAGGGGCGGCGCCAGGGGGGCCCAGCGCGGATGCAAGAAACCCGCGCAGAGCGCCACAAATTTATGTTACTGGCGTTTGACTTCTTCGATAATCCCAAACCTGAGCCCCTCCTGGACCCAAAGTGGCCCTTACCCCATTTGGCGGCGCGCAGAGGGGGGCATGGGGAGAGGGGAAGGCTTCTCAGAAGGAAGCTGCTTCTCAGAAGGCGCCGCCCTGACATCCACAGATAGGGGCCGCGCCTTCTGAGAAGCAGGGTGCTGCTGAGAAGCCTTCCTTCCTTCCTTCCTCCCCCTACTCTCAGGTCGAGCATGTCCTCGTACAGGCGGAGTCTGGAGGACATGTAAGGTACTTAGCGGGACCCCGCGCTGCAGAAGAATGCGTCGACTCCGCCGACCCCTTGTGGGTCTCGAGGCGTGTGAGATAGTTCCCCCCCCATAACCCCCCCCCCAGGGACCCTAAACTGGAGATTCGACCCCCCCCCCGGCCCCGGGGCACCCACCGCCGAACGCGTCATGGGGGAGCAGAAGGTCCCAAAACAGGCCAAAAACTCACAAACGGGCCCACGCGACGGTCCAAAAAGGCCCCAAGAGGCCTCCAAAACGGCCCACGAAGGCCCCGAGACGCCAAACGAGCGCTCCAAGACGCACGAGATGGCCCAAAGACGGGCTAAGAGGCCTCCTAGACGGCCCAAGAGGTGCCCACGAGGCCCCAAGAGGCCTCCAAGATGCGTCCCAAGAGGGTCCCTAGACGCAGAAGTTGGCCCATTCCCTTTGTAAAACTTACAATTTTCACATATTCACAGTCTGGGCTTTCCGACGCTCCCAGACGGCCCAAGAGGTCCCCAAGACAGCCCAAGAGGGCCCCAAGACGGCCCAACAGGCGTCCAAGACGGCCCAAGAGTGTCCCGAAAACGGCCCCAAGAGCGCTCCAGGAGCGCTCCAAGTGGCCCCCAAAAGAGCTCAATATGGTCCCAGACGGTCCAACAGCGATCAAAGACACCGAAGATGGCCTCCAGACGGCCCCAGATGCCCCCAAGAGGCCCCAAGAGGCATCCAAGATGCGCCCCAGAAGGGCCTCTAGACGCAAAAATTGGCCCGCTCCCTTCGTAAAGCGTACATGTTTCACACATTCGCCTTTTGGGCTTTCCGACGCTCCCAGACGGCCCAAGAGGCCCCCAAGACCGCCCCAAGGCGGCCCAAGAAGCCCCCAAGAGGGCCCCAATACAGCCCAAGAGGGCGCCAAGACGGCTCCAGAGGCGCCGAAAACGGCCCAAGAGCGCCCCGAAGACGGCCCCACGAGCGCTCCAGGAGCGCTCCAAGTGGCTTCCAAGAGAGCTCAACATGGTCCCACACGGTCCAAGAGCGATCGAAGACACCCGAGATGGCCTCCAGATGGCCCAAGACGCCCCCAAGAGGCCTCAAAGATGCGTCCCAAGAGGGCCTCTAGACGAATTGATTGGCTCATTTCTTTCGTAAAACGTATACTTGTTTCACAAATTCGCCTCGTGGGCTTTCCGACGCTCCAAGACGGCCCAAGAGGCCCCGAAGACCGCCCCAACCCCAAGACGGCCCCACGACGGCCCAAGATGGCCCCAAGACGGCCCAAGAGGTCCCCAAGACGGCCCGAGAAGGCTCAAAGACGGCACCAAGAGGGGCACAAGAGGGCAACCAACAATTCAAAAATCTAGCTTTCCGCCCCCACGAGCCCCATGGGGGCCAGATGCCCCCAAGAGGCCGCCAAAACGCCCCAAGGAGCCCCCAAGAGCCCCCAGGAGGCCCCGAAAAGACCCCCTGACGCTTCCGTATTGCGAGCCATCAAGCCAACTGCAAGGCACTCCGCGCATACAGCCTGGCTCTTCCTCGCGACGTGCTCGCTATCTTGCTCGGCGCGAATGTGCTGCTACCGCGCGAACTGTTTCGTGCGCGCTGCGAACGTCAACAGCCTCTTCACCCGTTTCGACTCATCTGCCACATTTTTCGCGGTGATGCCTCGCTGATCACAGCTTCCGCACACTACTCTTGCTCGTTTCGTCTTCCGGTGGTCCTCCACTTGGTTGCGGGTCGAAAGGCCGACCTCCCAGAAGGACACCCCGCACCCGGGTGCACAGCACGCAAGGCGCTCGCAAAACGCGCCCCAGACCACCGGCATCACGCAAACATTTGGGCCCCCTACGTATCTGCCACCACCCGCGCGCGACACCGCACCCTCACACAAGACGCCGCTGGCCAGAAACTCCTGGCCTCGCAACACTCACAGAAGGGGTCGGCAGATGTGGCGTAAGCCTGTAGAGTCTCCTGGAGCACACCGCGCCAGCACTGGCCTGCCCTTGGGCCTGGCCTCCCCCCGAGCTCTTCGAAGCCCTCCTTGGAACCCTCCTCTTCCGCGAGGCCACGGGAGGGTCTTCCAGCCGATGCTTCAGAGGTGGGGGGCCGCGTCGTGCTGGGCCTGCCTCTTGGTGCTCCTCTGCGCCATCGGCGCCAGCTGCCAGGCGGAGTCGCCGGAGGATGTACGCAGCAGTATGCTGGGGCACTCTCTTCGTCCATATCTGAGCCTCCTGAAGTGCCTCGGGGCTTCCGCGGCCGCCCAGAGCCGTTGGGGGATGAGAGACTTCCGTGGTGCGCATGCCGGCACGCCGGTGTCTTATTTGATGCCACCGTACGACAGCAGTGCCGCGAGCGCAGCTCGGCTACACGCAAGAGTGACCCTGGGTGAGCGTGGCCTCTGGTGCCAATGGGGGGCTGGAGAGGAGGGCTGGAGCCCACGTGGAGGCTTTGGGGGGCATCTTGGAGGCCGTCGATCGAGAAGGGTGTGCCGCGCATTTGCGGCCCCCGTCGGGGCCCTCAAAACCGCATGCCGGGGCGCTCTTGGCGCGCTTGGAGCCCTCTTGGGGCCCTCTTGGGACCTTCTTGAAGCTGCCGTGGGCAATCTTGGAGCCATCTTGAGGCTTCCAAAGCCGATCTGAAGGGACAAAACGAGAATGCGAACAGCAGTGACTTCCCGGAGATTGTGGAAGGATTTGGGTCTCTCGGATTATTTGAGGAGCTCAGTGGCCACTTGCAGGCGTCCTGGAGGCTCTTGTAGGCATGTTGGAGGCTATCTTGAACCAGGTTGGGCTACCTTGATCAATTTTGGAGGCAACCTTGGATTATCTGGGATCCTCCTGCCACCATATTGAGTCATCTTGGACGCTTCAACCCCATCGCGCCCACCCCGGAGGGGGAATCCCTCCCCGGAAGGGAAAAAAGGGGTTTAGCAAATCAACCTTCTGCGACCACTCACGCTCTAAAGGGCTGGTGGGATTCTGAGGCAGTTGCAAGGATGTGGGGCGGCTTTATTTCAAAGCGAGGTTCTCGCCCTCACGCCGCGCACATTCGTTTTCAACGCTTGCACCTGTTACAGCGGTTGTGTTCAAGATGTTTATCTCCCTTCCGCGCCACGCACGTGCGCTCTATGGAAACCCGCAGCAGCTGGAAGGGTGGATGGGTGGGGTCGTTTTCGAGAAGGGGCTCTCGCCTCAGCGCCGCACACATTCGCCCCAAAAGACTGCCACAGCCACTCGGATGGAGGGCGGCGTATCTTCGACATGGGGTTCTCGCCGCAGCGCCGCCCTCGTTCCTCTTAACAGTCTTGAGCAGCTACATTGACGGAGGGCGGCTCCTGTTCACGATTGGGCTCTCAGCTAGGCGCCGCGCGCATTCGTCTGGACGCTTTGAAACGCTTCCGTTTCAAAGTGTGGCTGTTGTTTGCGACTTCCCTTGGTTCAACGACCAGAAGGTTGAACCGGTGTGGCAACTGCACGGATTGAGGGCGGTTCTTTGTCAGGTTGGGATTTGCGTTTGAGATGTCCACTCACCTTGCAACCAGACGTGTGATAAACGTGTTCGGCCGTTTCGCGGGCGCGTGGGCGGCTCCTTTAGACAATGGCGCTCTCGCTGGGCACACCCTTGAACATTATGATCCTGGGCGCAGGATTCGATTCCGGGTGCCCGTCAGCTGCCCTGCTGGGAGTAGTTCCGGTAGCAGTTCCGCCTGCAGAGCAGGAGGAACAGGAGGAGGAGAAGGAGAAGGAGGAGATTGAGATTCAGCCTCTCTCTCGCGCGACGCGACGGCATCTGATGGGGAGTGGGAGACAGGCAGATGGGGGAAAATCAACATCAAACTACTCGAATCTCGGGCCAGTGTCCCCGATGAATTATCGCCAAACGCTCGACAGCTCGGGTAAGCATCTGCAGCCCACGGAGCTCGGCCTTGGTGACCGTGCCTCTGCCTAGGCCGCCTCCTCCCTCCAGGAGCTTTCCTACGCTTTGATTCGAGACAGGATCAATCACTTCGATGACGAGCCCGAACCCAGCTTGCCCCTCACGGACGCCCCCGTCGAAGGAGCCGCGCAGGAAGACGGGGCCACGGCTCGGAATCGCGATCGATCCAGCAAAATTTCGAAAGAAGGGGGTCTGCTCTTGGACCCCAGAAGTCGCACACTGGTCTGCTAGTTTATTGTGCTCTCTATACACGTGTCTAAAGAAATCATGCCCTACATTAGATGTGCCTACACTCCAGCTCCTTGTTTCAAAGCGGGGCTCTCGCTCAAATGGCAGGCACAGAGGTGGTGCTCGTCTTGCCAGGGGGCCCCTCCCGTGGTGAAGAGACAGGCCCTGCAGGGGCTCCTCCTCCTCCTCCTCATCAGCATCAGCATCAGCATCAGCATCAGCATCAGCATCAGCATCAGCATCAGCATCAGCATCAGCATCAGCATCATCATCATCATCAGCATCATCATCATCA